CCCCAAAACCCCAAAACCCCAAAACCCCTTGTTTCTTGATTTCATTAGAAATCGGTAATTGTAATAAATAATAAATATAAGATTTTTATGTCTTTAATATTAATTCTATAATTTATTGTGGAAATAGAAACATTTTAGAAATGAATATCCTGATGTATAGTAATGATTAAATTACTTTGCCCGATGAGTACGATTCTGAAACAAACGAGGGTTATGACTCAGAAAAAAAGAGTGAAGATTAATTCATAAGTCTAGGTGTTGATAAAAATAAGATCAAAGGAGAAATTATTAGCATTTATGTAATGCACAGTGATGATTTTAACCTCAAGACTATAATTCACATCAGTCAAAAGTAAGTAAATTTTATTTTAATCTTTACCTATATCAGTGAAAAAATGACTGTTTTTCAAATAGTACTGAATGATAATTTTCAGCAGAAATATGAATAGTTCAATGGTTTAACAGGATTAAGTGCTATTGAAATATGGAAAATAAACGGAGGACCTTAGGTTCAGAAAAAAATCATGTCTAGCTCTAACATTAAAGGCTCTTAAACAATAATATCAATAGATGGGAGAGTTAAGGATCATCTTAAAGCAAATGACTTAATAATGTGTAAAGTCGAATCCTTTGATATATGGCTTAAAATTGAGATTCAGCTATCTTGTTCGTTCAAGGCATTGAATGCATCAGTTGAAATCAAAGTAGACAAGGATATAAAAGGAAAGGACCTAATAAATATTATATAGAAATTTTGTGTAGAAGCTTGGAATTCATATTGTGACTCTGCTTCTTAAAGAGAATATTAACTTATCTAAGCGTAATCCAAGGTAAAAGCTAGTTCAGCAGACATGCTGAGAATGAAGGAGGAATTATTTATTTTGACAGATTTTAAAACATTTAGAGTTCAAATTGTATCTACCTCGAATACTATAACTAAAGATGAGAGTGTCAGAATGTCGAGTATCAAAGTAAGAGATAGAAAATTAAGTAAAAAAATGCTTTACGAAATTGTAATGGATTAAAGAATAGGAGAAATGTTCACCTATACTTAAAACTTGATAAAAGTTGAATGCAAGTTTTAAACTCTAAAGTAGCTGTTTCAATTATAGAATCCAATGCTTAAATTCGTAAGTGAGACAAGCTTAGATACCAACAGACCATCAGTTGAAAGAAAATCAACCATTCCCTTAAAGAAAAATGTATTAAACACAAACACAACTGAAAATAGAAGATTTTCAACTAAATTAGGATTGATGAATTCTCCTGAGAAGAGGAAAAATGCCCAAATGTCTGATCCTAGCAATTTTAATAGACTTGAAAATGTACAAGGTGTCTTTTCTACATCAATGCCATATCAAAACAATTTCATTAGGCAAACAGAGGATTCAGGAAGTGGGAATTAGCCTAATCCTGACGAGGAAAGTAAGGAGCCTGAATCCGATCCGAACTCTGACATTAATGATAATGCTGAAACAATGATGATAAAGCTGTCTATATAAGAAAATACTGCTAGGACTACGAATTTTGAGCGTCTTTCCATTCAAAATACATTAAACGACAAATTCATGAGCCAAAATAATCGACAATCTAGAAGAAGCACTTAGTTTATAAGACTATCTTCTCCATAATTAGAAGAAAAAGAAATGACTTTTGAGAATTGAGTTACTCAACTCAGGATTGACAAGTTGTAGTTATATAAAATGAAGAAAGAGGAAGATTAAAATGATCAGGTATTCATTCCAAATCAGTTAATTCAAAACATTATCTTGCCAAAAAAATATATTTACAGACTTGTGGAGGAAGATAGTTCACTTATTCAAGATACTAGTAAGAGACTTAGCACGAGTGTAGATATGGTAATGACATACGATTAGATTCAAAGATCAATGGAAAAATCTGAATTAAATTTATAAGAGATAAAAGAGCAAGAAGAATAAGATATTCAACCAGGAGAGGAACAGCCTTCATCCGCAAGATTAATTAAAACAAGGACTCATTCAGCAGAAGGTCAATCTAGAATGATGAATAATACTGGCTTTCTAACAAATAGATCTTTGAACACCACCATGAATCCTTTTAGATCTTTAGGTAAAATAAAGAATTCAGAGATGATGAACAAAAAGAGAGACCAAGATGAGGAATTTGATCTTGAGGCGACTCCTAGAACTCAAGCTAAATTTAGGAAAAAACTAGGCAAAAAGCAAACTGGAGAATTTACCTCTATTAAAGATAATAAATAAGATGATTCCTCACTACTAAAAACTGATATCAATGACCCATTGCTTGAGTCTTTTCAGGATTAATTTTTCCATGGTAAGTTAAAAGGAAATCTTCATCTGACTGTTAAGCTTGTTGAATAACCAGCAACAGATTTGATCACATCTAAGACATTAGAGAAATCAAAGAACTATGCCTCGGTTACAAACAGAGAGAGCTAGTCTGATAAAACAGTTAAAAATACATAAGGAGCAGAAAATATAAAGGAAAATAGAAGCATTAAAAATGAAAATCAGGTAGGTAATCACACTAAGAAGGCATCAATTTTTGGAAACCTGATTAATTACATAAGAGGAACTCCAAGAGTATAACATGGCCTAAAAAAACTTCAACTTAAAGTGAATCCACAGGAGGAAGAGATGACTGATGAATAAATGATTTAAAAGATAAATTTTGATCAGATTAGATTCATACTGACTTATGAGGAATTTATTGCTATTAAGATTCCTATCACAAAGAACTTTTATTTCAGTGAAAAGGATATTTATGATACAAATGAAAGTGATCTTGGAGGGGAATTATTTGAATCAGAAGAACGAAAAAAAAAGATTACCATAAGCAGAAATTTCTTGATTGCTATTGGATTATTTATTGCAGCAGTTTTGATCATAACAGCTATTGTTTTCATTGTTATAGAAACATGAGCTTAATGTGAAATAGAAAAGTTTACTATAATGATCTCAGGACTAAAAAATCAATCTTAAGCAATGAATTATATATCTTAATTTGAATAGGTGATTTATAGCATTTAATTAATTTTTTATCACTTCTTTAAATTAGTATACATGGGGTTTTGGGGTTTTGGGG